CCATGGAGGAGCTATGCTAGCACTTCAGTATAAACAATTCAACACCAGAATTTTTTCCCCTGCAATCATTCGTTAATGGCATCTGCTCCATGGAAGGGCTAGGTCTGAACAGTTTTCTCTATATTTTTTACCGTCTATCTAGTTGGACGGTCAAAGTATCTAGTTTTATTATTTCTTTTAAATTTTTAGTTTAAAAAAATTGAGACATTAAAAAAATGCAAACGGTCCCGTTAAATGACTCACACATGTGACCTGAGATACCATGCAAAGTCTGACGTGTTTCAATGTAAATTAGGAATGCACCACAGCACACACATAACCAAGTGCAGGAAATCCGGACTCAATTAATTCAATTCAAATTAAGATAGTACAAAGGGAGGTTGGTTAAATCTAGCATCTTTATATCCATCTGTCAATCTATCTCTAGCTATATCTGTATACGGTTGACATATTCATGCATATATATAAACATGAATGATCTATCAATCTATTTGTTTAAATCTAATTACTTCTTTCTGATCGATGATAGTTACAATTCAAGGTTGAATATATGGTTGAATTAATGTACTATGTTTGTTAATTGATGAATGTTAAAATTAATATTTGATGCTAGGTTCAAATATCGACAACATGAATGCATACTATAAAAGTATAAATTCTTCCTTACATACATGTTTATATGGATGTGTGTGGATGGATGCATGAGTATGTACGTATCTTTAGATGCATGCATGCAAGCATGTAGTTACACTTCAAATAATAAATTCATTGGGTAGCCAAAAAACAAATGAATAACAAATTCATTAATACATGTGTATGTATGTATACAACATTTTATGTATATGTATGCGACATGATCACTACTTCCCATGCATGCTAGCTAGAGCTAAGGAAATCTTGTGGAGAGGAACAAAAGAAGAGGAAATTAAAAGTTTAGCAAACAAAGCAGCCTTTCTTCTCTCTCAAAATCCAAGCACTATCTCATCACATTAAGCCTATAGAAACCTAAAAAGAATCTAGGGTTTTTCTTCTTCTTCTTCTTTTTATGTTTGGTGCAAGAAAGGCTCTGATATAGTGATATATTTAATAGTTAGAATTAGAAGAAAAGAGAATGATTCTTTCTCCCAGGAGACTGACAGAAAAATGCCTATTTCTTCCACAGTGGCTTTGTAGGGCCAATTGAACCAGCATAAAAGATTGGACTTTGAGCTGTGTAAAAAAGACTTGGGTTTTAACTTTTATGTAAACAAAGACAAAAAGATACGGAAGAAAAGCAATAGAAAAACAAAACAATCTCCAGAGAGAGAGAGAGAGAACCCCACTTTAATTTCTAAGGTAAATCAAACACCGACCAGAAACAAAATTCTCGGTGTTCTGTTTAATGGGGATGAATAAATTCAGAGGGAAAGCCCAGGGCACATGCCCTCTTACCTCTTACAAATCATTCAAATAACATTCACATCAAATCATCAACAGTGTTTAGTAGTGCAGCAGGCATCTATTAATTTCTTCCCGTGCATTTATTTATCTCAGAATTCACTGTGTGTTGAATAAAGCAGGAAAATGGCGACACTGGCATATGATGCCAACTTACTTGATTACCGCAACTACCACCTCCTTTTCTAGACAATTTTAGCTCACAACATAGACTTTTCTTCATTCTCAATCTGAACTGATATATTTCTTGATGGTGGGTTCCCTTCTACTTGCTTGCAACAATGTGTTGTGTTGGTTGGGCAATGGGGGGACCAAGCTCTGTGTTATTAGTATCAGCACTCAGAGATCTAGGCTTATTAAATTAATCCTATATATGAGCTAGGAAGGGGAAATGAGCTAGCTCTTCACATTTTACAGCAACGTAAGGTAAGCCCTGCAATCAGCAGGAATTGAAGCACAGACCCTCAACGCGTCTCTTTGCTATCTAATCTGTGGGCGCTAGCTCTAATGGTTGAAAGTGAGAACCCAATTTGATTAATTAGTGGCCAAATTAAGCTAGCTAGCTACAAGGGAATTGATGAATTGAAGGAGGGAAGTAGTGTGTCTAGGTTCATGCCTGTGACTGTGAGAGTGTACGTAGTAGCTAGAGAGAGCTTCCTGGTATGAGAAGTAGTCTGTAGTAGTGGTCAAGCCATGGACCATGGTGAGCCCCCCAACCCCACTGACCAGCCAATCATCGCCATTCTCCCTCTGTCCTGCCCTCTGTGTGTTCTCACCTACAGGATTCCATCTGTCTTGTATAGTTCCAAATGGTACTCATATAAAACCTAATGACAAGTGGCCTTTCATCTACTTATTTACTCCAGTAACTTTTTTGCTCTTCTGGGTGTCGAGACACACAAACCGGTCTGCATTTGCAGGAAAAGACGGATCAAAATAATGAACCACGAGGAATCCTATGTGCAACAACGCATCCATCGAACCGGAAGCAAATTAATTAAACCCCATGTAAATCCCTTCAACGCAGTAGGGTTCATCTGGTATATATGGTCATATAAATCCATTTCACAGCAGTAGTGTTCAACGCAGTTGGTTGAATATATACTTCAATTGCTGCTGTCATTAACACAGAAAAAACTATTGCCCAACTTGTTAGAGTCGTAATCGTATTACACATATAGGTAGAATATTCTTCGAACTATGTCACGCTTTGCTCTTATTTAATTCCGATCCCCTCCATGAGAAAGGCAATAACAACTGTTGAAACTGAAAGAAAAATTAAATAGAAGAAGGCTGTCTAATTAGTTATCAGTAGAGAAGAAAATGGTGTCTCTCTATAATAACTTCAAACCAAGAGAAACAATGGAACTCCAGAAGAGAGAAGAGATCTTTAGACGAAGATATGATCATCACGTTGCTATCCTCTAGGGTCTAGATGAAGATATCAATAAACTAAGAAATTAAACAATTACGTATGTATGTGTAATATAAAACTAACGTAGACATAAAACCTACGATCATGAACAAGTTTTAAATAGAAGAGTCCAGATCAATACAAGTGTCTAATTAATCAAATCAACCGATCTTAATTTGCCCATATCAACAAAACAAATAGAGTAATAGCAGTGCAATATCAGATTACATAATAATTTCTCTTATGGATCAAAGTTCTACTATAAAAATACTTTTAATATGGGTTAATGTTTGTAATTATGGTACAGACATTTAATTGTTTATTGTTTTTGTTCTCCTGTAACGATATGCTATAGCAACATAGATATGCGTGGACTGACTCAACCTCCTCTCTCTCTCTCTCTCCCTTGGGTGAGGGTGAAATTTTGGAAGTTTCAATGATTCCCCCTGAAAGTCACAACGGTATTTGGAGACTGGTTTCTTCATATGCTGCCAAGCCAAGCGGGTCTTCTGCAGAAAAATAAGATTCAGTGACTCAAAGCCTGACTCTAACATTAAACACTGTATACAAACAGTATATGTATCATCATATGGATGGATGTACAATTGTACAAGAATTCATACATAGAATTCAGATGATCAACTTTCCTTTTTTGGGTACTGATTTGGGCAGGTCCCATTTTTTAATAAAGATGGAACTTCAACAGTTGAACCTCCCCGGTAAAAAGAAAAAACAGAAAAAATAATCCAATGGTTTAGGTTTATAAATTTATATGACCATATATACCTTGGATGGGGACCCTGTATTATAGATTTCTCATTTTCTCTCCCAAGTCCCAACCACAAATTTGGTGGTTCAACAGTTAATTGCTAAGAGCTATATATAGTTTTAGCCCCCTTTTTTTTTCTAAGAAAGCTTCATAACCACTGATTTTATAGTATTAACCATTGTCATCAAATCCAGCCTGGAAGTCAGAGTCCAACGAATCAAGTTAAATCTGTCATACTAGTTGCCTTGCTTTTCATATTCTCTGTCCTTGTTTTAGCTCTATAATCTTCTCCGTGTCGACTGTGATTGAGTATTCTACTCTGACAAGCCAGGTCATCTCCATGGAGTTAGCCAGTTCAGCTTCAGCATGGTAAAATTGTTTTCACCTGCTCCTGCTGGCTGCTGCTAACAATCTTATCAGACCCATCAAGTTACTCGGATTTGGGGTATCCAACTATCTAAGCAAGCCTAAAAACAAAAGCAGATCATCTATTACTGGATGAGTAATATTTCTATCTCCACAACGTGCATGGGAAATATGTTGTAGTGGTCCATATTAGGGCTCCTAAACAGAGAAGCGGTGAGTCCAGACGGTTGAGCTAGCTCTTATCCACCCAGCACCGATCCAAGGGGTGTTTGGAAGGTTTTACTTTTCTTTTCGTTGTAGGTTGTAGGTTGTAAGTTGTAATAATAAGTATGTCAACGACAAACAAATCTCAGCCATATAGTCAGAAATGGATCGGATCGAACCCATTGAGTTATGTTGGTGCAGGTATATCCGACCCAATTGACCAAAGCTTCGATTCCATCATGGATGGAAGTTGGGTCAAGACTAAAGACAAGATCTACTCCTCCCAATCGCAAAAGGATGGGAACTACTGAGAACTCGATCTTGAATATGGATAATGACATCAGTCGTCGTCGTCACTCGTCAGGGTATGTTTTGTAATTATCCTGCATTTTAACTTCAACGTAATTAATTGATTAAATCCAGTGATACTGATTTTAATTAGAAAAGCTCAGGAATGGCGTCGGTCAGATTTGGACTTCGGAGCCGATGAACGATCACTAGCTGACTGCTGACCGATGAGAGAGAGAGAGAATCTTTATTGGTTCGGCTTAGCTTAACACCGTCGCCTTCTCTGCACCCACGTGAACGTTCCCTCGCCCGCGTCCCCACACAGATCCTCCGTATCTACCAGTGGTCCCTACCTCTGTACTACGTCTATGTCCACGTGTGGCCCACTCACCTCCTCTCCTTCTCTTCACTCGTGTCACGCCATCTCATACATGTATAAATTCCACGTGTCTCTTCTCTTCCCGGCTTTGTCCTATAAATCGAAAACCTGTAGCTTAAATACTTGACACAGAGAGAGAAAGGTGCAGTAGCTTAGAGAGAGAGTCCTGAGTCCTGGACCTCCTGGTTTCTATTCACTTCGCTCTGCAAACGTTAAAAAGCGGGAGAGAGCGAATCTGTGCATGTTGCGTAGAAAATCTTTAAAGCGCAATCCGGCTTACGTTAGCACCACGACTTCCCACGCAGCTGCCACAAGATTTTGTTCCCTCCCAGAAGTTTCACCCCCAAGTAGATCCCCCTCACTCATTCCTTCGCCGGGATGCGTAGTTTTACTATCCTTCACCGCCGCTTCTCTTCTTCTATAAATTAAAATCCCAAACACCAACCGCAAGACACGCTGCCTTACTTCTCTCTTCTTTTGTCTTACGATCGAGTTGTGTGACAACAACAATGGCTACTAAGCTTCTTCTCCTATCATTTGTCATCTGTCGTCTAATCTCCACGGTTGGACTGACTGTGGACCCTAACGGGCTCCTCCGTCTTGGTTTATACCGTCAGCTCAGCTTCGATTACGCCGATGTCGAAACCGCCTCCCTTGATTTTGGTAGAATGACCCAGGTCAAGCCGTTGGCCGTTTTACACCCGTCCTCGGCCGACGACATCGCCGGCTTGATTCGAACCGCTTACGAGTCACCTGAGGGATTCACTGTCTCCGCCAGAGGACACGGGCATTCGATCAGCGGGCAGGCACAAGCTGCCAACGGCGTTGTGATTGCGATGAGCAGCTCCATCTCCAAGCGAAACCGTCTCACTCGCCCTTCTCTCTCTCTGGGTCTGGGACACAAGTCCAGCTACGTTGACGTTTGGGGTGGAGAGCTGTGGATAGATGTGTTGAACTCGACGCTCGAGCATGGGCTTGCACCAAGGTCGTGGACCGATTACTTGTATCTCTCCGTGGGTGGAACCCTTTCGAATGCTGGCATTAGTGGACAAGCCTTCCATCACGGCCCTCAGATTAGCAATGTCTATGAGCTCGACGTTGTCACAGGTTGGTTCAACTGCTGTAGCCACGGTCCTTCCTTGTTAATTCTGCAAACACATGCTGATGCGTTTTCTCAAATGGGTTGAGACTTGAGAGTCTCGACTCGTTTGAATTTTTCCAAGTTTCAGGGCTTTATTTTTCTCACATGGGTTACGGTGGATTGACAAACCTTTTACTATATCCACATGGCCATTTGGTTTTTTTACTTATCCAACTTTAGGCTTTTGAATTGCTTTCTTTTAGTTTTAGTTCGATTGCCTTCTCGGGATATATTTTCACATGGCCTGGTTTCTTTTCTTTTCAATATATAATCTATCTTCTTACCATTTTTCCTTCACCTTTTCTCTTCTTTTTAGTATATAGTTGTTGCCCTCTATCACATTTGTCTTGTTTTCATTCGCCTGAGATCTTATTATATATTTCTTTTGGTACAGGGAAGGGAGAGATCTTAACATGTTCGAATGAACAAAATTCACAACTGTTTCACGCTGTTCTTGGTGGGTTAGGACAATTTGGCATCATAACAAGGGCTAGAATCGCTCTAGAACCGGCTCCACAAAGGGTACTACTCAGCTCTCAGCTCTCAGCTCCTCCCTCTCTCACACAAACAGATGAATGAAAATATGAAATATGAAATGGGCGATGTTCCGTTCGTTGGAAGTTGGAAACAAACTTGGGAGTTTGGTCCACTGGACTGGAGGCTGGAGCCCATTGAACTTTTTCAATTTTTAACCCATTAATTTAATGAGCAAAAAAAAACCAACCTAAAAAGCCAATACTAAAAAAGAGTTGGGATTAGGGTTGGGCGGGGCCCATACGAAAATCCCAATTTTATATCAAACCCCCATTCGGCATTCGATTGCTGGCAGTGGCAATATTGTTGACGTGTCCCTCCTCCTATCCAGCTATTCTTAATTCTAAATTGCTGCCTTCTGTCTTGTTGTTGGGTTGGGCCATGGGCCTTGTAGGTGAAGTGGATTCGGGTACTATACTCCAAATTCTCCGCTTTCACCAAGGACCAGGAGTATCTCATCTCCCTGAATGGACACCCTGCGAGCGAGCGCTTCGACTATGTCGAAGGTTTTGTTATCGTGGATGAAGGGCTCATCAACAATTGGAGATCCTCTTTCTTCTCCCCACGCAACCCCGTTAAGATCAGCTCTCTTGGGGCTGCAGCTAATGGTGGTGTCCTGTACTGCTTGGAGATCACAAAGAACTACGATGAATCATCCTCAGATACCGTAGATCAGGTATATTTAACTTCTTCCGAGAATAGTTTATTCTATTTGTCTGATCGTGGTGGTAAGGTAATATTTTAGAGGTAAGATTATTCTCTTATAGGTGTCTATAAGAGAATATAACTTATATTTGTCTGAGCAGGTATATTATTCTCTTAGAGGTAATATAACTTATACTATAAAAGCCAATAGGACATCCGCATGACAACGTGGGAAGATCTTGTGTAATCTATCCCATTTCATACTAGGATGGAGCTTGTGCTTTCCTTACCAAATCTCATCCGTCCACCCACCAAATTATTTAAAATTCAAGTTCTGCTCCAGAGAAATAATTTTAAAATTGATCCAAATCCAAGTTGCCCTGACAAAAAGAGATGTCCGGTTATCAACCTTTTTTATGCTTACTTTGATTGCTTAAGATGTTAATTAAATCACTAATTAGGGATTCCATTGCTCTGCAGGAAGTGGAGGCTCTGCTAAAGAAGCTGGATTTTATACCGACATCGGTCTTCACAACCGATATTCCTTATGTGGATTTCTTGGACCGGGTCCACAAGGCCGAGTTGAAGCTCCGGGCCAAGGGTTTGTGGGATGTTCCCCATCCGTGGCTGAATCTCTTTGTCCCCAAGTCAAGGATTGCCGATTTTGATCAAGGTGTCTTCAAGGGCATTTTGGGAAACAAGAAGACAAGTGGACCTATTCTAATCTACCCCATGAACCGAAACAAGTAAGCCAGTCTCTCTACTCTCCAACCCCTTTGTCTATTACATTACGTGTCTCCCAGCTTCCGTGTTGGTGCCGTATGATCAATGGACACGCTTCACCCACGTAGACAGTCAAGTGTGCTGGCCGTGGCCGTCTCACAGCCTTAATTCTCTTAAAAAATAAATAATACTTAAAAAGATAAAGGTTGGGCTTGGACCAAACTTGTTTATGATGGGAATTTGAAAATGTGGGTCCTTGATCGTACGGTGGATGAGCCCGTTAAAAGCACAAAATTGTCCTTTGAAGGGGTTCTTGTTGTTTCTATCGTCTTATTAACAAATATAGGATCAGAACGCATTCTTTTTTACTTGGAAAAAATAGTACAGTTGATCTACTGTACACGTGGCTTATATGCTCAGATGACTATGATCATCTAGATAAGATGATGACATAACCATATAGCCTTTTAAGCTGTTTTGGAGTTTGTCTGACGGATGAGATCATCCGATTGGGTTGATTCATGAAATCTCCAAGATATTGGGCCCACAGATTGTTTCTGTATATTTGTACTTAAATATTACGAGGGCTACGAGCCCCGTTATCTAAATAACACGACAATTGGTACATGTCAACCATATAAAAAGCTTGGGAGAAATTTTTTTTTAGTTAAAACCGGACCAACAGGGGTGGGCCCCATAACTCCCTCCGGACCATCAAATTCCAACCATCGTGCAACTAAAATCCAAATCGTGTTGTTGTTATGATGTAGATGGAACCAGCGGAGCTCAGTGGTTACCCCAGACGAGGACACATTTTACCTTGTAGCGCTGCTCCGATCGGCACTGGATTCTGGGGAAGAGACACAAACGTTGGATTACTTGAGCAATCAGAACCGTCAGATACTCAGATTCTGTAAGGAGACAGGGATCAAGGTGAAGCAGTACCTACCCAATCTCAGCACACAAGAGGAATGGAAGGACCATTTCGGAGATAAGTGGGATTTGATTGTTAAGAGGAAAATGGAGTTCGACCCCAAGCACATTTTAGCCACGGGCCAACGTATATTCCAACCTGGCTTAACCTCCTCCACGTCTTCCTCTTAGTGACGGACTGACGGGTGTCTCGTGTCTGCACTCCGCACTATACACTCTGGTCCAGCCCAGCAGCTAAACCGCAGAATATTTTTGTACAGGAAAAGGAAAAAGAATAGGAAATCATTTTTTGTTCAGTTTTGTTATTGTAATTATGGATTAGTCAATTACGGTGGTGATGGTTGAGCAGTAGTTGTCAGAGGCCTGGCGCATTAAATATCGAACGGCTGTGTGACGATGATTGGTGGGGGCCCATCGTCATTTCCTTCACATGTTATGATGTTGCAGCGCCCGTGATCCCAGACAAGTCGACCGTTGCCTTCGCATCTTGTCTTTTCAGTTTTCACAGATGAGCTGGTTGGACTCCCATCCATCCATCTATCCATCCATCCATCCCCATATTTTTCTGAATTACTGTTTTATGTTTTCCTCTTCATTTTTTCATATAATTAGTTGTACTGTATCAATTTGTCGCTGTAATTAAGGTTTTATTTTTTCACTTTTTGTCCTAATCTAAATCAATCGCACTCATTTTACCCGCTGATCAAATGGCTTAAAAAATGATGACGTGTCGTCGGGGATAAGATGTATCTTGCTGTTTGTTATTAAGATAAGCACGGATCTCTTCCTCAGAGGGACAGCACAATCAATCACATTCATGCGTACGTATTGTACACATGGCACTCATGTAGACCAGTCGAGACTCGTTAGATGTCCCCAAAGGAATGGTCCGGTATCCAAATCCAAATAATTGCCACGGCCGAACAATCCAAGTGGCTGGATTCATAGCAAAACAACGAGTGCCAAAAATAGGGCAGGCCGGAAGTATCAAGAGCTTTATTATAGAATACCTAGGTAAATATAGTAACATTCTAAGATGGCATCTTAACCGTTGGATCTCTAGCTTGGTAACTGGTAAAGTGGTAAGATATCAGATACATGATTGATTCCGATTCTTTGGCATCATTTCGGATACCAACCATATCAAGAATGTCGACACTCGACACGCAGATAAGTGGTGGCCGGAGATATGGTGCAGTAGTGAATCAAAGATAGTCTCTCACTCTCTTGTAAATTGGAATAGGAAAACTCATAAAAAGAAAAAGGCAAATGGATCGAATCCTCCAGTCTGTGGGCTTTCGTTTTCGGGTTTCCTGGGCCCAACGCGTATACAGTTCCGATGCACACATTTCTAATGTGACACTTGTTGAGTATCAAGTGTTGACCGAGAACAGTTTACCTTCTGATTTGGTACTCACAGGATCTTGCTCACACCGTTCGCACAGTATCTTGTTGCAGCCTTGCATCGGGAATGTTTTTCCACGAAAAAACGCATATATGGAGATATTCCTAATATACGGCTGTAGAAGGCTGCGAAAATGGTGGATCTCGCTGCATGCGGGATAAGGTTGTTAACTGAATCTAAAAGTTTAACAGTCGTATTTTTTTTTTCTTTTTGGGAAAATCTTTTTTTTGAAGGCTTAACATTCGCATTTGGATGTTAAAACTCGCATCAGGATCGGATACAGATCTTTGATTCCGTTGGCGTTTATTGAGGGGGTGTTTATCTAAAAAACGTTTATATGAAAAACGCTGCTCTTTTTTTTTTTATTTTGTTGTTTGGTTGGGTGTTTTGTGGGTGTTTCAAGTAACAACCCATAAAACTACTTTCCACCACAGCATTAATAAGCGTTTCTTGTAGTTTGGGTGTTTGGTGTGACATTTCAAGAAACATTTGTATGAATGTTACATTGTGATATATGCTCTTGATATTTGAGTGCCATGAGTCAATCTAACCGTCCAAATTGACTGCAACTGAGAAATTCGCCGGTGGAGATGGACACCGAACAGTTGATCGTGAGTTGTTGTATTGGTCCATCGACAGAACAGGAGCGGAGATTTGGCTCCTTCTCTGTATGACCTTATCCAAATTGTTCAGGATTTCATGATAGACACAATCCAACTCACTATCCTGATGCAGGCACAGTAGATACGAAAGAATATTGCTAAAACCGGTACTCCTGGAGTTAGAGACAAACATCAAAATATGGTCCGAAATAAGGCTCAATCCTCGATTCTAAAGGAAGGAAATCCCAATGTTGAATCTTGAATTGAATTGCTCTAAAACAAGGAGAGAAATAGATGGGAGGAGATAAGAATAGGGCGGAAGGCGGAAGAGCGAAGGGAGAAGCCATTGAAGAGGAAGAAAGTAAAGCATGTCTAAAAAAGTTGCCTGCGTGAAACATAGACGTTTTTTCTACAAGGGCGGACTTACCGGCGTCCACAGCAAGGTTGTGCAAAGAAGCTTTCTCTAATAGGCTGATGACGATCTCCTAGAGGTGTAAAATGGGTCGTGTTGGACAAACCTGTGGCTCGCACAAAGTGTAGGCTGTGTCGTACCGACCTGTGGGCCATCTTGGGCCGTGCTACCCTCCCCAGAGATAATTTGAAGGGTCAGCCCGGTACAGCCCACGGCCCAAGCCTGTTTGGCTGCAAGTCGTGCTGTGGCCTAGGCCATGCCTTGGGCATGGGCTGAATCGGGCTAGATTAGTTTTATTTTTTTGTCATTTTTTATTTCTTTGTTAAGTAAAACTAAAATATTTAACTTTCTTTTTGGAACTATTTAAAAAAATAAAAAATCTAACAAAGAAATAAAAAATATTTAATCAAATAAGAAGTTAAAGAGATAAAGATTCAAAGTGAATAACAAATTGGAAGAAAAATAGGAATTTTATTTCATTTAAATTTGAATGATACAAAGCATACAATGGTTGGATGGATGAAATCCAAAAATTGGAAAATGGAATAAATTAATAAAATATAAAAATCAATATAGTTATAAATTGAAAATAAAAAATTACCTTATTAAAAAATATCAAATAAAATTAAAACAAAATTTACAATAATTTGAAAAAAATGCTATACAACTATTGAGTATACAAAAAATATTGACTTCATCATTTTCTTTCTTGACTTTGATCATTGTAGGAATTGAAAATGGTGGAGGATAGGGCTATTTATAGGAATTATTGAATTGGTGTGATGAGAATGGTGGAGGATAGGGCTATTTATAGAAATTGAAAATAATTTAATTGTCCATAATACCCTAAAAACTACCCATTTTTTAGTTGTTAGGAGGGGTATTTTGGCCATTATAAAATTATTTATCACTTTACCCAAAATGCCCCTCAAATTAGCTATTATATAATTGTTGAGGGGCATTTGTGTCATTCTTTCTCTCCCACAACCAAAATACATAAATACCCCCCTATATAGTTATTTATATCTATTGGGGGTATTTTTGTAAAAAAAGAAAAAACCTATATAACTACAGGCCCGCGGGCCATGCTGCATGTTGTGCTGTAGGCTGGGCTGTGTCGACACATGGGTCGCAAGCGGCACAGCACACACAATCGTGTTGTGCCGTGCCAGCCCGTGGACCTGGAACCCCAGGCCTAGCATGGCATAGACCATTGTGTTTGGCATAACCTGCATGCCATTGTGCCATGTCGTGCTGAATTGGTCCAAATTCGGGCCAGGTCATGCTGGACCATGGGCGACACAACCCGATTTATACCTCTACGATATCCTCTGAGACCGAAGCGTGTTGTTGGCTTTAGGGTTTTAGGTAGCAATTTTCTTTTGGAATGGTGATCCACAATGCACCGGATCATAATCACACCACACCAGCTCAGCAGCCACTTCATCACCACGTAAGATATGCGTTTCGGGAAATGCCGGACCATTGTGGAAATCGAGAATTTAAACCTACCCCCAACGGCTCCATTCACATAAATCAAAGCGTTTGTGGTGGCGTTTATTGAAAAAACGCCCAACCAAATATCCTCTTAATCTCATCCTATCTGAATCCAATAAAATTCAAGCATGGTAAAAAATTATGATTATATATGTATATAATATAATTATTTAATATTGTATATCATATTTATAAGTTAAAAGTAATTAAATTTTTAAACTTTTTTAATTTATGTTATCATTTTAAATACAATAAGGTGGATGCAAATTAAATCCCAATCTAATCCGTGTCGGACAATTCGAATCCAAGGGTTTGATAATTGAATAGACTGCGGGTTTTAGCCGGATACCATGCCCTAATAATATTGCCGAATGTTGACCATGACCAGGGGAATTAAATATGTATCCAACCAACAAGTCACTTTTGGCCCGAAACCGGATTTGGTCTAAACCCAATGGCTGATGAGAATATTTGATTTTGTACAGAGAAATGAATGGGGAAATTAGGATATCAAGAACTATTCTTCAGCTTATCATCAACTCTGCAAAGCTAATTAAAGGTGGGTCCAACGATTTTTATGGCAAAGATTTATATGTGGTGGGGCATAGGTTATACAATGTGGAAAATATGGTGAATGTTGGGATTGATTCCCTTCCAACTGGAAAATATGGTGAAATGGGACAAAGGGGGGTCTCTCCTGAAAAAGTTAAGATTTGAGATTTTGATTTCCTAAGTTGAGATGGACTGATGGACACCATACGTAGCAAGCCAACAAAAGATCGGGTCATTGTTGAAATCTTCTTATATGGAAATATGGTATGGCTAATGAGTAATGACTTTTCCTGCAACCCAAAAAATAAAAACTTTGATGATTATGATGTTGGAAAGACATGATATTCGAAAAACTGATAACTAATCAACCAGCAGCATTATAAGAGTGTTAACCAATCAGATGGATTTTTATCAAAATTCATAGAAGGGTTTTAATTGATCAAACCCTTTCTAATATTATGCTTTTCTGGCATCATATATTTTTTTCAGAAAAAACAAAAAAAAAAATGAAGAACAAGAAGAAGAAGACAATATGAAAGAGAAGAAAAAGAAGATTAATTAATAGACTTAAATAGCTATTGGTGGGACAAGGGAAACCTAAAAGGTAGATGGGTGGATGGATGGATAGATAGATTGACTCCAGTATTATCCATGTTAATAAGCAAGGAAACTTAAGCCATGTGGGATACAGTGGACTTTGTTGTAAGGACAAAAGGGGATTGGACCCCGAAAAGCCGGGTCATTTCTTGCCAACATGTTTGCTACATTGCTTGTGTCTTATTCCTTCCCAACCTAATATAGAGATAGGTTTCTCTCTCCATCTTTCACCTTCTCTGGTGGGTCACCTACTTCCTGACATTTGAGGGCATTGAAAGAGAGATTGATGGGAACTTTGAAAGATTGATTGATCAATTTGAACAACAATGTTTACACAGTCATACGATCCACATGCATGAAGGTTTGGCCAGGGAACGACCTACACTTAGAGTAGTCTGTGGCTGATGGATGGCTCTAATGCCTCTAATCCAAACGGGCATACATATGGGATTGTCCACATTTGTTGAGTGCCCTCCCATACAAGGGGCCAAGGGGGTCCATTTCCTATCAAATCCGCAATATGCATAACTATAACTACAAGACAATTAGTACAGAAATGAGCAGAACTCGGTGATTCTTGTCAATAAGTTGATGAAT